GTTCTGGCAGGCCATCCGCAGGCTCCGAGGTGAAAAGACGGGCAGTCTCAGAGTCTTGAAGGACAGATCTGGACACCCTCTTACCAAGGATGATGCATTCTTCGGCGATGGAGGGAGTTCTTTGAGGAACTCCTTAACGCCGCTCAACCGCATGAAGACTCGCCTGTAGAGCAGCAGGGAACGGATATTGCTATCTCTATAGATGAAATTACACACGCTGTGAAAAGCTTTAAAAATGGAAAGGCTGCTAGAATTGATGAAATCCGCTTTGAAATGCTCAAGGCATTAGGCGAATGAAGGATGACTGCTTCAATGGTACTGCTTTTATGACGAGTCTCCGGTTTGACAGTTCTGTCCCTGTTTTCCTGGCTTTCAGGTGGAATCTGAGTTCTGCGTTAATTTACGCAACGCTGTATTGATCCAAGGAAAATTTTCCCTACATTCGATCAGTAGCACACCATGGCTCATCTTGATGAGTAAGCTTACCCGTACAGTAAGTTGATGGACTGATACCAGTGTCCTGATACTGATACCGTATGGCATGGACCTTCAGGGTTAAGAAAATTGTAGTTTTCGGTTGCTGTTGAAGTGTCCCGCAGTACGTAGACAGTTCGGAACCGAGAGATAATTACCACCGACAAGTGCCACCTTTCCCTTGAATAAGACCCGCGAGATCCCGACCGAAATATCGTTATCGGTCTATTTTCCTATGGATCACAATATAACGTTATGTGCAGCGAAATAGTTGATTGTGCTTTTTTAATGTAACTACCCACAAGGTCAAACTGAAGAACCTCTGTATCTTCGCCTTACCGCAGATTGTTAAGATAACCTGACAGTTTGCTCATCCGGTTTATGTGCTTTGTGGACTTGGAGAAATCCTACGACCGGATTTTGCGCAATAAGTTATGAGTTTGCCTGCTAACGTATGGAATCGATGGCCAGTTACTACAAGCCATCTAATTACAGTATTTTGATAGGAGGTTCTGCACCGGCGTAAATGTTTTAGAGCGGAGACCCTTCAACTCTGACATTGGTCTCCGCCAAGGTTTGCGTTATACACGGATAGAATAGTTAGGAGCAGCCAAGATGATAAGTGTATCGGTGTAAGGGATGTGGAGACGAGAAAGTTGCTGTTTGCAGACGACCTTGTTTTATTGGCATCATCTGAATTTGATCTACAGTGCTCTTTAGAAACGGTCGCAGCTGAATAGGGGTGGCTGGCATGCGTTTAAACGTATCTAAGTCCAAAATCCAAGAGTTTCTCGTTCCCCAACCCCCGTTGCACTCTGCGAATAAGCACAATAGTTCAGGTACCTCGGGGTCGTGTTTACTTGTGATGGAAATTTTAAGAAGAGATCGACCGGTGAATTAGAATAACCGTGGCGTTCTGCGAGAACTAATCCGAACAACTGTGACTAAAGCAGAGGTGAATCTGGAGACTAAGCAGGGTCATGACTTCGAGCTGAAATGCGCTTTCTGAGACGAATCGCTGGTTGTACACGTCTCAGCATGATCCTGAGTAAAGAAATCCGAGTGAGAGCAAGCTTTAGTGTATAGACTGGTATGTTACCACTGCGATGGTTTGGGTACGTCTTTGGAATGCTTTTGAATGGAAGGCTAAACAGCTATTAATTGCCCAATCGACCGGTCAGAAACCCAAAGGGTGGCCAAAATGACCCGTAACAGGTATTTCGAACGACTTTGCTCTAGACTTGGCATATCTTTTGTGGAATCTGAAACGCTGGCACAGCACCGGTTACGTTGTTGACACTGTCTGACGCGTCTGCTTCCGCGGCCCAAAGGGATAAGCAATCATCGTAATTGACTACGCACACAAGAACAAAATACTGCCTTCGGATGCTGGATCTGTCGTCACTTTCCCTGTTCATCATTAAAAAAATCTAGTCACATCAAATGAATCCGTCAAATATTACGATATCGTTATGTTATCTGACGTAACGTGGCACTCACGCAACCTGTTGTGACTGAACGTACCCAGCTTCAACTGATATATAAAATTGAGTAGCTTTCTTGTACAAAACAGTGCCATTAAGAAAACTGCTTTGCCTGCGTCTGCCACTTTACTCCTGTGCCGACCGTTTCTCATCGCCTAATAACATGCGACTAACTTGTTAACTGACTTACTAACATCGTCCTAACTTCTGTATGCTAAGGCGATCATTTAGACAATGTTTTGGAATAAGTGGTATTGCTCATAATGAGTTACTTCGATCCATTTTTGATTTTGCTGTTTCTCATAGTACATGAACGAATTGCAATATTTGTCATTGTGGCATTCATTTACTGCATGACAAACATTAACTGCCACAAATTCCATTCACTAGAGTCAGATACATTAATGTGCATTGCATTGACAGAGCTGCATCGAAAATCTGTTTGCCTCAGCGTCAATTCTTCAGTCTCATTGACTCTAAACTTCATTGCTTGACTCTTCTTCGTGATGTGGTCCTCAACTTCCTTTTTGCTACTGGAACTTCACTGTTAGTCTGTTTTGTGATGGAGGCCATTGTGGTGTGACCGAAATGGCGGAAAATTTGACATGAGCCTTTGTCATGTGCCCAGATCCACTGGATTTAAAGATAAACAACCGTAATAAAATTAATAATTGTTTTTT